ATATGTAACACGTAGCATCCCTACACACTACACGGAGTATCCCAATGCATGGCACTGAATAACCCTATAGAGGACACGGAGCATCCCGACATACAACACAAAGCATCCCAACGCATGGCACAGAGCATCCCTATACGTAACACGGAGCGTCCCTACATACTACACGGAGCATTCCAATGCATGGCATGGAGCATCCCTATAGAGGACATGGAGCATCCATACACATGGCACGGAGCATCCCTCCCTATAAGCAACACGGAGCATCCCTATCCCTGACCCCACACGCGTGTCCCGCGCTCACAACCATCACATCCCCCCCACCCCCCCCGTGTGCGCATGCGGGAGCCGTGTCCCAGGGCGGGAACACGCGTGTGCGGCCGCGGCTCCGGCCACGGCTCTGCCTCCACAATGGAGCCCTATGGGGGGATGTGGGGAGGGGGGGTGGGGGGTGCAGATGGGATCGGGTTGGGGGGGGGAGAGAAAGGGAACGGGAGAGGGACATAGGAGAGATGGGGGGGATATGGGGTACAAAGGGTATATAGGGGGGTACAAGGGGGATAGAGGGGGTATGAGGGGGATATGGGGGGGTAATGACGGGATATGGGGTGGAAATGAATGAGATGTGGGGGTCCAATGCGAAAACTGAAACACAGCCCTGCCCAGTCCCCCCCATCCCAATCAGTGACCCAGACCCCCCCCAACCCATCCCAGACCCCCCCCAAATCCCCCTCAAAGACCCTCAAATCTCCCCTAAACCCTCCCACCCCCCCCGATCCCCTGACACCTCCCAACCCCCCACTCAGGATCCTCCATGGGGGGCAGAGACCCCCCCAAACCCCTTCATATCCCTCAACCCCCCCCCATATCCCCCCATAGGCTCCCCACCCCCCCCCAAATCCCCCCCTGGACCACCCAAAACCCCTCAAATCCCCCATTAAATCCCTCCCAGGGCCCCTCATAGACCCCAACATCTCCTCACAAACCCCAAATCACTTCAACCCCCCCATATCACCCCCAAATCTCCTCAACCCCCACCCAAATCACCCTCAATCCCCCCCCAAACTACAAAGCCCATCCCAGACCCCAACTCCTCCTTACAAAACACCCCAAATCCCCTCAGAAACCCCAAACGCCCCCAAAATCACCTCAAACCCCCCTAAAACCACAAATCCCATCCCAGACCCCAACATTTCCACACAGAACCCCCAAAACCCCGGATAAACCACCTCAAAACCCCCAAAATCACCTAAACCCCCCCAAATGACCTCTGAAAACCCCAAACCCCTCACAAAAGGCCCCAAAATCAGCTCAACCGCCCCAGAACCCCTCATTTCACATCACAGAACCCCCAAATCCCCATTAGAAACCCCAAAGCCCCCTCAGATACCAGCATCCCCATACACCCCCCCAAATCCATTCAGAAACCCCAAATTCCCTCACAAAACCCCTCAATCCCATCATAAACCCCCAAATCTCCACACAAAACACCCCAAAACCCCTCATAACCCCCCAAATCCCCTCACAGACCCCTAAAACGACCCAAATCCCTTCAGAAACCCCAAATTTCCTCACAAACCCCCCCAAAATCCCCCCCAAACCCCATAAATCCCATCACAAACCCCAACATCTCCTCACAAAACCTCCCACATCCACACAAAACGCCCCAAATTCCCTCAGGAACACCAAAATCACCTCATAAACGCCCTCAAACCCCCCCAAATCCCTTTGTAGACCCCGAATCCCTCACAAAACCCAACATTTCCACATAAAACACCCCCAAATCCACACGAAACGCCCCAAAACCCCTCACAGATCCCAACATCTCCTCACAAAGCACCCCAAATCCACAGAAATCGCCTCAAATTTCCTCACAGACCCCCCCATCCCCTCATAGACCCTATGATCTCCACACAAAACACCCAAAATCCACACAAATCGCCTCAAATCTACTCATGGACCCCCCCATGCCCTCAGAAACCCCCTCATCTCCACACAAAACACCCCAAATTTACACAAAACACCCCAAATCCACACAAATTGCCTCAAATGTCCTCATAGACCCCCCATCCCCTCATAGACCCCCGCACTTCCACACAAAACAGCCCAAATCGACACAAAACACCCAAAATCCACAGAAATTGCCCCAAATGTCCTCATTGACCCCCCCATGCCCTCATAGACCCCCTCATCTCCACACAAAACACCCCAAATCGACACAAAACACCCAAAATCCACACAAAACACCTCAAATCTCCTCACAGACCCCCCCATCCCCTCATAGACCCCCTCATCTCCACACAAAACAGCCGAAATCGACACAAAACACCCAAAATCCACACAAATTGCCCCAAATGTCCTCATAGACCCCCCCATCCCCTCATAGACCCCCTCACTTCCACACAAAACAGCCCAAATCGACACAAATCGCCTCAAATCTCCTCATAGACCCTATGATCTCCACACAAAACACCCCAAATTCATACAAAACACCCCAAATCCATACAAAACACCCAAAATCCACACAAATCGCCCCAAATCTCCTCACAGACCCCCCCATCCCCTCATAAATCTCCTCCTCTCCACACAAAACACCCCAAATCCACACAAAACACCCAAAATCCACAAAAATCACACCAAATCTCCATATAGACCCCCTCCTCTCCACACAAAACACCCAAAATCCACACAAAACACCCAAAATCCACACAAATCACCCCAAATCCCCTCATAGACTCTATGATCTCCACACAAAACACCCCAAAACCACACAAATCGCCTCAAATCTCCACACAGACCCCCCATCCCCTCATAGACCCCCTCATCTCCACACAAAACACCCAAAATCCACATAAAACACCCAAAATCCACAGAAATCCCCCAAACTCTCCTCACAGACCCCCCCATCCACTCATAGATCCCCTCATCTCCACACAAAACAGCCCAAATCCACACAAAACACCCACAAGCCACACAAATTGCCCCAAATCTCCTCATAGACCCCCTCACCTCCACACAAAACAGCCAAAATCGACACAAATCGCCCCAAATCTCCTCACAGACCCCGCCATCCCCTCACAGACCCTATGATCTCCACACAAAACACCCCAAATCCACACAAATCGCCCCAAATCTCCTCACAGACCCCCCATCCCCTCACAGACCCGATGATCTCCACACAAAACACCCCGAAATCCACACAAAACACCCCAAATCCACACAAATCGCCCCATTTCTCCTCACAGACCCCCCCTCCCCCGCGTCCCCTTCACACCCCCCCCCCCCCCGCACTGACCGAACATGCCGAGGCCTCTCCGCGGGGCGGTGGCGGGGGGCAGGGCGGTGGAGGACATGGCGGGGGTCGGGGTGTGAAAAGGGGGGGGTGTGGGGGGAGGGGGAACGGGGTGGGGGAGGGGAAGGGTTCCGGGGTTACCGGTTACCGGTACCGGGGGGGGGGGGACCCGAACACGGGGCCGCGGCCTCCGCCCGCGCCGCGCGCGCCAGCCAAGGGCGGGCGCCCCCCCCCCCGGGCTGTTCCCTCCTCCTTCCCTCCCCCCCCCCCCCCCGCCCTCCACTGCCGCCTCCCGCGCGGCCGCGCAGGCGCCGAGCGGCGACGCCCATTGGACGGCGCCCGCGCGTATGCAAATGAGGGGAGAGAGGTGGAAAAGGGGAGGGGGTGGTGGGGAGCCGCTACAACAGCCGACACCGCCCCCCCCCCCCGCGGGTGCGCGCGCAGCAGGCGGGCCACGCCCCTTCCCAGCGAGGCCACGCCCCTTCCCAGCGAGACCACGCCCCTCCCCCGCGGAGGGGGCGGTGCCGCGTGACGCGGAGGCGACGTCACGTGGTGCCTGACGCAGCCGCAGCGACGTCACAACGGAGCGCATTGACCCACGGATGTGACGTCACCGACCCGACGACCACGTGGCCGTGACGTCACTGCCAGACGCCCGTGACATCATAAGCTGCCTATAGCATCACTGGGATGCAACCGTGACGTCACAACTGCACACCTATGATGTCATGACTGTCACACACCTATGACATCACCATCACATGGCTGTGACGTCACTACCACGTGACCATGATGTCATAAGCCACCCCTGCCATGACAATGACAATGCTGTGACATCATTATGGCACGAGTATGACGTCATGACCCCGTTACAAGCCTCTGACGTCACTGAGATTGCTACCATATGATCATGATGTCATCACGCACCTCTGACGTCACTGTGACATCACTACTGCACACCCATGATGTCATAGCCCGACATCACCACCATATGATCATGTCATAACCCACCTCTGCCATCACTGTGACATCACTTCCGGGCTACCATGATGTCACAGCCCATGTCTGACATCACTAACAGTGCTTATGTCATCACTGTGACATCACTACCGCAGTCACGTGACCTCATAGCTCAGTTCTGACATCACTTCCGGGCTGCCATGACATCACACCCAACCTCTGACATCACTTCCGCACTCCCATGACGTCACACTCAACCTCTGACATCACTTCCGGGCTGCCATGACATCACACCCAACCTCTGACATCACTTCCGGGCTACCATGATGTCACATTCCCCCCTCTGACATCACTTCCGGGCTGCCATGATGTCACATCCCCCCTCTGACATCACTTCCGGGCTGCCATGACATCACACCCAACCTCTGACATCACTTCCAGGCTATCATGACGTCATACCCCCCCTCTGTCATCACTACCGCACTCCCATGACGTCACCCTCAACCTTTGACATCACTTCCACACTCCCATGACGTCACTCCCAACCTTTGACATCACTACCGCACTCCCATGACGTCACACTCAACCTCTGACATCACTTCCGGGCTACCATGACATCACCCCCCCCTCTGTCATCACTACCGCACTCCCATGACGTCACACTCAACCTCTGACATCACTTCCGGGCTACCATGACGTCACCCCCCCCCGACATTAACCCCGTCCCCACTATGACGTCCCCCCCCCTTACCCGTGCCGGGTCTCCCCATGACGATCTCCTTGCGGGGGGCCGGGGGGGCCCCGAAGTCCCCGGGCACGAGGAGGGGCAGGAGGGCAGCGGGGGAGGGGTGGAAGGCGACGGGGTGCAGGGGGGCGCCCCCTCCCCCAACACCCATGGGCGCTGGGGGGGGGCCCGGGTGCTGCGAGGGGGAGGGGTCGCCACGCTCGGGGATGGGGGGTGGGGGCGGCGGTGGGAGGGGCCTGGCGGGGGGGCGGAGCCTGGCGGCGTTGATGGGGATGGGCGTGGCCAAGGGGGGTTTTTGGGGGTGGGTCGGGGGGGGCGGTGGGGGAGGGGCGGGGGTTTGGGGGTGCCGGGCCCGGTCGGGCAGGGGCACCTCGGGGTTGCGAACGATAACGGGGGAGCCCCGGGGCACGGCCGGGACCCTGCGGGCACCGGGGCCGGGATCCGCCGTTAACCCCGCGGGGGAGCGGGGCGAGAAGAGCGGGGAGAGGGCTCGGAAAACCCCTCCCCCCCCGGCTGCCCCCCCGCCCCCCATCACATCCGGAGGGTCCGGGTTGGGGTTCGGGTCCGGCTTCCGCTTCCCGGGGCTCAACGGCACCGTGAAGGTGAGGGCGGGTTGGAACGGAGGGGGGGGCACACCGGATGGGGGGCGTGGCCTTGGTGGTGGGGGTGGTGGTGGTGGTGGTGGTGGTGGGGGGCTGAGGCCTTCACCCGGTCTGGGGGTACCGGCGCTGAGGTGGCGGCCGCGGGTGCGGGGGGAGGCGGTGACGGGGCTGAAATTGGCCGGTCTGAACCCAAAGAGCGGGGACGGGGACGGGGACGGGGTCGGGGAGAAAGGGGACTGGGTGGAAGCGGGGGAGAAACTGGGGGTGCCGGAGCGGGAGCTGCCGAGGGACACGAGCATCACGGCGGCCTCGCACTCGTCGAACTCGAAGCGGGAGAGGTCGGAGGGCGGCAGCCGGGCCCCGGCGTCGCCGTCGCGGGAGCTTTCGTCCCAATCGAAGTCGGCGCCGGCGCCGTCGCGGTGGAGCCCGGATGGGGCCGGGCCCCGGTTTTCGGGGAGCCCCTCGAGCTCCTTGGTGCGCATGGAGAGGTGGCGGGAGCAGTACCCGCGGCGCTGGGACTCCTTGGTGCAGCCGTCGCGGGAGCACAGGCGCCGCCATTGCTTCCCGTTGAACTTCTTGCGGATGCCGTTGGGGGTGCAAACCACGTCCCCCTTCTTGTACTTGGGGGTCGGGGTCACGCCGGGGGGGGTCCCGGTGGGGTTGCGTTGAGGGGGTGGTGGTGGTGGGGGAGGGGGAGCCGCGCTCAGCTTCGACACCTCCGCGTCTTCCGGTTGCTTTGGCGATGGCGACGCCGCCGTGGTGGCGGTGTCGGGGTCGTGTTCCATTGGGGGGTCCATCCATGGGGCGCGCAGGAGGCGCAGGCCGGAGCGCGGGACCCACACTTGTGGGGCGGAAGGGGGCGGAGCGAAGCGCACGCGGAAAGCGGGGGGCTTGGCGCTCACCTCCACCACGGTGCCCGGTCTATAGAGGGTCTCGGCCGGGTCCAACCGGGCGCAAACGGGGGTGCCCACCCCGATGGATGCCGATGGTGGGGTCGCGTCCAGCACCACAACGGGGGGGTCCCCTTGGAACCCCCCTTCCAAGTAGGTGATGGCGCGGTCGCCGCTGAATTGGACGCCCAGGTCCTGGCCGCGCCGGAGCTGTTTGACCACGGCCGGTTGGAAGACGCCGTCGCCGCGACGCGCCAGGACCCGCTGGCACCGGAGGCGCCGGAAAGCGGCTTCGTTCCCACCGGGAACCGGGGGGGTTCCATGGGTCGGGATGGGGCCGGTGCCGGTGCCCCCCCCTTCATCGGCCGAGTGCTCGCTGGCCGTGTCGGTGCTGGAGCAGCCGCTGCCGGGGTCACCGGAACCGGGGGGTTTCTTGCGGGGGGCTCGGGATTTGAAGGTCGCGGTTTTGCGGCTCGGGGGGGGTTGGTCCTCGGGATGGGGGTGGTGTCAGTGCCCGGGAACGGCGGTGGGGGAGGGGAGGAGGAGGAGGAGCAAGGGGCAGGGGTGGAGCCGGAGCCTTCGGCCTCGTCCCGGTCGGGGTCGCGGTGCTTGGGGCGGCCGCTGGAGGAGGAGGAGGAGGAGGAGGAGGAGGAGGAGGAGGAGGAGCCGCCGGGTTTCCTCGCCGGCTTCATGGCCGCCGGGGGGGGGTTCCTGTTGGGGGGGGGGAAAAGGGAAAGGGGGTGAATGGGGGTTAAAGTGTGGGGCAGCCCCATAAGTATGGGGGGAGGGGTTGGGACATCCCCTTCCTATGGGATGTGGGGGGTCTGGACACCCCCATCCCATGGGATATGGGAAGTGAATGGGAGATGTGGGGTGGGGGCGCACCCCAATAAACCGTGTTGGGGGGGTGACACCACCTTTGACACCTCAAGGGGGGGGCGGACCCCCATGTCACACCCCCCCCATTAACACCCCCCCCCACGTGGGTCAACCCAAACGGGGGGGGTCGCGTCCAAACGGGGGGGGGGGCATCACTTTAAGGGGGGGTCCGCCCCCCTCCCGGGGCTGACACGTCACGACCCCCCCCCCCACGTGTCCCGCCATGCCCGCCCCGCCCCCCTATGGGCGCTGACCCCCCCTTGACCCCTGTTTTTGGGGTGCCCCCCCCCCCCATCCTGTACCTGCGCCCCCTCCGCGGCCGCTCCGGAGCCCCCTTTACTCCAGGCGACAAAATGGTGAATGAACCCGGAGCAGCTGGCGGCGCCAGCCAATCAGCGCCCACAAACCGCGTGACGGGCGGCTCCCGCAGCCAATCAGCGCGGCGCGGAAACACACCGGCCTGCCCGCCCACTCCCCCGCCCGAGCGGCGCTGACAGTGGCCAATAGGAAGCGGCGGTGGGCGGGGCCGCGCGTACAGTAGCCAATAAGAAGCGGAGAAGGGCGCGGCTTAGAGCGGCCGGGGCTTGTTTACCTGGCGCCGCGCGCGGGGCACGCCGGGAGTTGTAGTCCGCGCGGGAGGCGAACCCGCGGCCTAAGCGGAGACCGCGGCGCCTGCGGCCTACAACTCCCAGCGCGCCCTGCGCGCAGAGCACGCCGGGAGCTGTAGGCCGCGGCCATGGCCAGCAGGACTCCACTTCCCGGCGTGCCCCGCGCAGGTCCCGCCCCCTTTTCAGTCGGCCCTCCCCCCCCCTTTCACACCCCACCCCTCCCCCCCCGGGGCCCGGCCCGGTCCAAGTCGCGGTGGGGGGCGGGGGGGGTGAAGGGGGGGGTCGGGGACCCCGGGGCCTTTCCCGCGCTGGGAGGGGGTGGGGGAGAAAGGCGCGGGGTCGCGATTTGCATCTCATTAGCATATTGATGAGCTCACCCGCGGCCGCTCCCGTCCGGCCCCGGCCCGGGCCCGCCGCGCTTCCCCTCAGCAACAGCGGAGCCGCCGCCGCCAGCGGCCAATCAGCGGCCGCGCCGGCCGGCGGGCCACGCCCACTCCGCCCCCCACGTGGGGACAGGAGGGGCGGGGCCCGCCGAGGCCAATCCGCAGCCGGGGTGGCCGAGCGATGAGGTCACCGAGGCTCGCTCCCATTGGGCGCCGGAGCTGACCAATCGCGGGGCCTAGAAGGGTGGTGGGGGGGAAGGGGGGGGTGGGGTGTGTGACACGCTGGACCCGCGTGGCCACGCCCCTCACGTAACCACGCCCCCTCCGACGTAGCCACGCCCCTCCCGCGGTCTGCCTCAGTTTCCCGCCATGGCGCCAGGCGGAGGCGGGGCTTCGGCGCCTGTCGCGCCACCAGCTTCCCGCCAAAGCGGGGCGGGGGGGGGGTGGAGGAGGGGATGTGGTGTCATTAATTATTAATGAGGTTAATTATAGCCGGGGGGGGGAGGGGGATGGCGCCATGGAGGTGGGGGGGGGCCTTCCACGTGACCACCCCCCTTTGGTTGCATCAGCCGAAGCGGGTGGGGGAGGGGGAGGGGCCCGCTTAAACCCCGCCCCCTCCCCTCCGTTTCCCACGCGCGGCCCCTTTAAGACCCCGCCTCCCAACCGGTTGCGCTGAACGGGGGCGGGGTGGAGGGGGCGGGGCTCCGTTTCCATGGCGACGCGGCGCGAGGGAGGGGGAGGGGCGTGGGTTGGGGGCGGGGCTTGGGGGGCCGGGTGTGGGCGTGGCCTGGGGGAAGGGAGGGGAGGGGGGGAGGGGAGGGGGGGGGCCGAGCGCGACGGCGGCGGCAGCGCGGAGCCATGAAGACTCCGGCGGACGCAGGTGGGGACTGCGGCCCCCCCCCATCCCGCCCCCTCCCGGACCCCCCCTTCAAAAGCGCGCGCCAAGGGGGGGTGGGGGGAGGGGCAAAGTTATTTGGGGGGGGGGGAACCCCAATGTTGGGGGCGGAAGAACTTTGCCCCCCCCCATCCCCCAACCGCAAACTTTCCTCTCCCCCTCCCCCCACCTCCGCCACCCACGTGACCCTCCCCACATTCCCCCCCATTGTAGGGGGGGGACAACCCACGTGACACCACCCCCTCCCCCCCCCCCCCCCCCCCCCCCATTGAGTCCGGTCCGAGTTTCGCGGGAACCTGTTGCGTCCCACGTGGGGGAGGGAGCCGGGGGGAGGGAGGGGGGGTGGGGGGGGGGTGGGCACGCCCCCCCCCCCCGCGCGCTCTGTGTTGGGTGGGGGAGGGGCGCTGCCACGTTGTGTGTTTTTAACGGGGGGGGAGGGGGCGGCTTGAGGGGGGGCGCTAATTGGCGTTGCCTTATATGGGCATTGCCTGCCCCTCCCCCCTCCCGCTCCTCCCCCTCCCCCCCACCCCGGTCCATTGGAATCCGGCCGGAGCCCAACTTTGTCCCCTCCCCCCACCCCCGCCCTGGCTCCGCCCCCTCCCGCCCCCGGCCCCGCCCACGCGGTTTGTGGGGGAGGGGAGGGCCCCCGGTGCTGCCCCATAAGTGTGGGGCGGACCCATAAGTTGGGAGTTGGGGGCGGGGGAGTAAAGGTGGGGGAGGGGCTGGGGTACGGGGGCGGAGCGCGGGGGGTGCTGGGATGAGTCATTGAGGGGGTGCAGCCCACACTTGGGGGGCTTGGAGGTGTGGGGCAGCTGCTATGGGGCTTGGGAGTCTGGTTATAGGGCAGCAATGGGGCTGGGACCTACAGTTTCCTTGCTATGGGGCAGCTATGGGGCTTGGACCCCCAGGTTCCCTTCTATGGGGCATCTATGGGGCTTGGACCCCCAGGTTCCCTTCTATGGGGCATCTATGGGGCTTGGACCCCCAGGTTCCCTGCTATGGGGCATCTGTGGGGCTTGGACCCCCAGGTTCCCTGCTATGGGGCATCTATGGGGCTTGGACCCACAGGTTCCCTGCTATGGGGCATCTATGGGGCTTGGACCCCCAGGTTCCCTTCTATGGGGCATCTATGGGGCTTGGACCCCCAGGTTCCCTGCTATGGGGCATCTGTGGGGCTTGGACCCCCAGGTTCCCTGCTATGGGGCATCTATGGGGCTTGGACCCACAGGTTCCCTGCTATGGGGCATCTATGGGGCTTGGACCCCCAGGTTCCCTTCTATGGGGCATCTATGGGGCTTGGACCCCCAGGTTCCCTGCTATGGGGCATCTGTGGGGCTTGGACCCCCAGGTTCCCTGCTATGGGGCATCTATGGGGCTTGGACCCCCAGGTTCCCTGCTATGGGGCATCTATGGGGCTTGGACCCCCAGGTTCCCTTCTATGGGGCATCTATGGGGCTTGGACCCCCAGGTTCCCTGCTATGGGGCATCTATGGGTCTTGGACCCCCAGGTTCCTTTCTATGGAGCATCTATGGGGCTTGGACCCCCAGGTTCCCTGCTATGGGGCAGCTGTGGGGCTTGCACACCAGGTCCCCTTGGTTGTGGGGCAGGACGCTGGGACCCTATGGGGCAGCCACGGAGCAGGACCCCTGCCCCCCTCCCCCGCTATGGGGCAGGGGGGGGGGCTCCCGCCGCACACAGTGGCCCCATTGACGGGGCCGTGGCGCCGCTGACGTCACATCCCGGCCCCCCCTCCCCCCCCCCGGCCCCAATTAGCGAGAACAGGGCCCTGAGTGTGTGTGGGGGGAGGGGTTGGGGGTGCGCCCCTCCCCCACCTGGGGCACGAGGCCGGGGGGGGGGGGTTATGGGGCACCCGTGCCCATAGGGTGCTGGTTATGGGGTGCCCCATGGCCATGGGGTGCTGGTTATGGGGCACCCGTGCCCATAGGGTGCTGGTTATGGGGTGCCCCATGGCCATGGGGTGCTGGTTATGGGGTGCCCGGTGGCCATGGGGTGCTGGTTATGGGGCAACCGAGCCCATAGGGTGCTGGTTATGGGGTGCACCATGGCCATGGGGTGCTGGTTATGGGGTGCCCCGTGGCCATGGGGCGCTGGTTATGGGGTGCACCATGGCCATGGGGTGCTGGTTATGGGGTGCCCCATGGCCATGGGGTGCTGGTTATGGGGTGCCCCATGGCCATGGGGTGCTGGTTATGGGGTGCACCGTGGCCATGGGGTGCTGGTTATGGGGTGCCCCGTGGCCATGGGGTGCTGGTTATGGGGTGCCCCATGGCCATGGGGTGCTGGTTATGGGGTGCCCCGTGGCCATGGGGTGCTGGTTATGGGGCACCCATGCCCATAGGGTGCTGGTTATGGGGTGCTGCTTAAGGGGTGCTCCATGTCTATGGGGTGCTGGTTATGGGGCACTTGTGGCCATGGGTTGCTGGCTATGGAGTGCCCCATGTCCATAGGATGCTGGTTATGGGGTGCCCTATGTCCATGGGGTGCTGGTTATGGGGCACCTGTGTCCATGGGACGCTGGTTATGGGGCACCTGTGTCCATGGGGTGCTGGCTATGGGGCACCTGTGTCCATGGGGTGCTGGTTATGGGATGCCATTGTACAGGGGGCACCGGTTATGGGGTGCAGGTTATGGGGTGCTGCTGGTTATGGGGCACTGTTTATGGGGTTCCCATGTCCATGGGTGCAGGCTATGGGTCCCTCTATGGGTCCCGCTGTGGGTCCCTCTGTGGGTCCCGCTATGGGTCCTGCTGTGGGTCCCTCTATGGGTCCCTCTATGGTTCCCTCTATGGGTCCCGCTGTGGGTCCCTCTGTGGGTGCTGCTATGGGTCCCTCTATGGGTCCCTCTATGGGTCCCGCTATGGGTCCCTCTGTGGGTCCCTCTGTGGGTCCCGCTATGGGTCCCTCTATGGTTTCCTCTATGGGTCCCGCTGTGGGTCCCTCTATGGGTCCCGCTATGGGTCCCTCTATGGGTCCCTCTGTGGGTCCCTCTATGGGTCCCGCTATGGGTCCCTCTATGGGTCCCGCTATGGGTCCCTCTATGGGTCCCTCTGTGGGTCCCTCTGTGGGTCCCGCTATGGGTCCCGCTATGGGTCCCTCTATGGGTCCCTCTATGGGTCCCTCTATGGGTCCCTCTATGGGTCCCTCTATGGGTCCCTCTATGGGTCCCTCTGTGGGTCCCTCTGTGGGTCCCTCTATGGGTCCCGCTATGGGTCCCGCTATGGGTCCCTCTATGGGTCCCGCTATGGGTCCCTCTATGGGTCCCACTATGGGTCCCTCTGTGGGTCCCTCTATGGGTCCCTCTATGGGTCCCTCTATGGGTCCCGCTATGGGGCAGGGGCCGTTCTGCGGCTCCATCCCCGTTCCGGGGGGGGGGAGGGGTTGGGGGCTCTGCACGCGCCTCCCCCGGGGGGTTATTTTTAGCGTCTCCGGTTGCCTGGCAACGGGGGGGGAGGGGCTGGGATGGGGGGGAGGGGCCGCCCCCCCCCCCCAATCCCGTGGGGGGGGTGAGATCATCGCAGCTGATGCATTATTGATGTGCGGGGCCCATAGCGGGTGTGGGGCCCGGCCCCATAGAGACACCCCATAGACGGGAGTGTGGGGCACGGCCCCATAGAGACGCCCCATAGACGGGAGTGTGGGGCACGGCCCCATAGAGTTGCCCCATAGACGGGAGCATGGGGCCTGGCCCCATAGAGATGCCCCATAGACGGGAGCATGGGGCCTGGCCCCATAGAGACGCCCCATAGACGGGAGCGTGGGGCCTGGCCCCATAGAGACGCCCCATAGCCGGGAGTGGGGGGCACGGCCCCATAGAGACGCCCCGTAGACAGGAGTGTGGGGCACGGCCCCATAGAGACGCCCCATAGATGGGAGCGTGGGGCACAGCCCCATAGAGACACCCCGTAGATGGGAGCATGGGGCTGTATGGGGAGGGCTTGTGGGGCAGGGGGTGTTATGGGGCAGGGGGGGGTTATGGGGCGGGGGGGGTTATGGGGCAAGGGGGGGTTATGGGGCACAGGAGAGGTTATGGGGCAGGAGGAGGTTATGGGGTCGGGGGCTTATGGGGTGGGGGGCAGTTATGGGGCAGGGGCGGTTATGGGGCAGGGGGGGGTTATGGGGCAGGGGGGGTTATGGGGCAGGGGGGGTTATGGGGCAGGGGGGGGTTGTGGGCCCCACACAAAGGGCCCTTGTTGTGGGCGCTGAGCTCAGCCCTGACCCGTCCGGGCCTGGCACGGCCCCTCCCCCCCACATGGGGGGGGGACAGGGTGTCTGACGCCCAAGTGCTGCCCCATAGCTTGGCTGTCCATGGGTCTGGCCCCCCAAGTGCTGCCCCACATCAGCACTGAGCACTCAGCCATGTGAGCAGCTCCAGAGAGCCCCATAGGGGTGCCCCATAGACAAGAGTGTGGGGCACAGCCCCATAAGTGGTGCCCCATAGAGAACAGCATGGGACACAGTCCCACAGCGGTGCCCCCCAGACAGGATCGGGGGGGGCCGTCGCTCCCTGCCCCACATTGCCCTGGTAGGGGGGATGCTGCTCCAGGCATCCCTGTATCCCTGTATCCCTGCATCCCTGTATCCCTGCATCCCTGCATCCCTGTATCCCTGCATCCCTGCATCCCTGTATCCCTGCATCCCTGCATCCCTGTATCCCTGTATCCCTGTACCCCTGTATCCCTGCATCCCTGCATCCCTGTATCCCTGTATCCCTGTACCCCTGTATCCCTGCATCCCTGTATCCCTGTATCCCTGCATCCCTGTATCCCTGTACCCCTGTATCCCTGCATCCCTGTATCCCTGTATCCCTGTATCCCTGTACCCCTGTATCCCTGCATCCCTGTATCCCTGCATCCCTGCATCCCTGTATCCCTGTATCCCTGTACCCCTGTATCCCTGCATCCCTGTATCCCTGCATCCCTGTACCCCTGTATCCCTGCATCCCTGTATCCCTGTATCCCTGCATC